ACAGAACGCGCGTTATATTATAGTAAACTGTAAAACGATGGAGAAGCGCCAATGTATGCCTATAGCTATGAGTATCAGAATGAACTATAAATTAAGAATGTGTGTGTTAGAATGCCTCCAAACAACGTATGTGCTACTGAGCGTGGCAGAGAAGCAGAAGAAGCGAGAAGTGAAATAGCAGGCAATAACAGCCGCACTTAATCATGCAACTTTCTTTTTATATCACCACAGCAACGCACGCTCGAGTTTCAGTCTTGCACGTGAATTGAAATGAGAACGCTGACAGCTGAATGTTTCAGCGTTAATGGTACCCGACACGAAGTCACCTCACACTGCTACCAACCAGCGCACGCTTGTTGTTAGCTTGGCATCACACAAAAACAATTTACAACGAAGCCAACGAAGTACGTACATTTTCACATCACCGAAATGTGTTGGCTAGTGCGACGTTCGCTTTCAGCGATGATGAATACCGATGTTGAAAACAAACACAGCGCAGATAAAAACTCCTCCGTATGAACTACGTGATGTTTCGGGCGTCTTATATGGTGTCTATGTTGCGACGGAAACTACCGTAGAGTTTTTTCAGCCGATGTTCGCATGTGCTGGTTCATACGAACTAGACGGTAGAGGCCTGCACTGGATGCAGATGACGCCGATCTGAATTGCCTCCGCGGTAGGCGAGGGCTCACGCTCAAGCATTCAAACCTCCAAACTCTGTTTACACTCGTTTTTAGCAGAGAAAGTCACAGATCAAAGCACAAGGACACCGACATGCTCCTTTCGCTCGGCTGACGATCGCACTCGGAACCGGCGCTATAGCATAGCCGGCCGGCATTCGCTGGATTTGTCGGCGTCGCTCGAACTCGGCACGAAACCGCGTCACGCTGGTAGCACTCGCAGTCGTTCATCATGTCGTTGTCGTTCTAGATTACGAAGCAGTCATTCAGGAACATTTGGAGTAGTTTCCGTGCTTGCTTTCAGCACTCGGCTGTGCCTTCGAAGCGGCGGCCATTAGGCATAGCGTTCCAAGGCATCGCACACTCCGGTTGGTTGGCGCGCGGCCCCTGGTTGGTTGGCGCCGCTGTACGCATGGTGACGTAGCGAACGCGTGGCAAAAATATCAAGCCCGGCTTGATCCCTCGTGCCTCCTCGCGTATGCCCCTCCGACGCAGACGCCGAGAGGCGAATTTGACGCTTTTGGCGCGTAGACGCAAGCATACGCGTGCCAGCGGTTTGCACTTTATTGTTTAGGGTGTTTCTAGACAACCTAAAAGGGTGTTTTCCATAGGACAAAAGTACACCCTTGTGGTTGTAAACTTTTTAGAGTGCCTTCTTTTTAACCGATAGTTCTTTTTGGTTTGGCCCCCTACTGTTTTCTGAGTATTTACCCGTCAATTTTCTGCTTCGCTTCCTTCATTTTATATCGACATTCTTCATGTACAAGTAGCTAAAAACCTTCCTAGCCTAACGCTCCTCTCCTATTTCTCTCACTCGCTTCTCTCAACCACCACCCACGTCGGAACATCGCACCGTATTTTTCTCCTGTGCACGCGACGAGTGGCTTCACTGCACAGCCATTGAACATAAGGGGGGACCTATGCGCAGCAACTCTGCTAGAGTGCTTTATTCCAGGTCAGTCTAACTGCTCCCATACAGTAAGTAACTCAGCGCTACCCATCATGTACCGTCGCATCGCGACCACTCTCTGAACTAAGGCGGACCGATAGCTCCCGCTGAAGAGCACGGGTTTGCAATGGCATTGAAAAAAACAAAAAAATGACGGAGGCGTTTGCTTGGCGAGGCGCTCCTTGAATCTAAGAGCACATATATTTCATAGATGATAGTCTTTCCTTTGTGTTTGTCAGTTGTATATCTTCCACAGATGGCGCCACGCGCCTTGGCGATGGCGACGGTGCGTGTTATTCGCCATTAGACTACACCTCTGCGTTACAGGCTGCACTAAACGACTCTTTTGTACTCCCTTGGCGCAGTCCCAAAAGGGTGAGACTGTTTTTACAACAAATCAATTCAGGGTGGAACTCAGCTCGATGATGTAGAGCGCCAACGGGCGGGGCATCACCTCAATGATGTAGCCACCGTTTTATTTATTTTTCTGTGTCTACCCTTTCGTATTTGGGCCGATATGTCTTGGTTCGCAATACTTCTGTCCTGGCCTCAAACAGTAGAGAACTACCCCGAGTATTATCATAAATCCTTTCCTTGGCAATTCCCTGCTTAAATGTTCCATAGATCTGTAGTGCGGACTTCTTAATCATGCCAATTCTCCACATGTCATTCTCCGTTTCCTTCACTTTCTTCTTAAACGATAGTTCTTTTTGTTTGGCCCCCTGCTGTTTTCTAAGTATTTACCAGTCAATTTCCTGGTGTGCTTCCTCCATTTTGTATCGACATTCTTCATGTACAAGTAGCTGAAAACCTTCCTAGCCCAACGCTCCTCCCCCATTTCCTTCAATCGCTTCTCAAATTTTATCTTGCTGCTAGCTTCCCTGTCCCCAAATGATGTCCATCCCATATCACCTTGTACTCCTTGATTTGGTTTATTCCCGTGAGCGCCTAGAGCAAGCCTACCTATTCCACGTTGCTTAATTTATAATCTTGCTTGAACTTCTGATCTCATGCACAAGACCGCATTGCCGAACGTCAGACCAAGAGCCATGACCTCTTTCCATATTCCTATCACAACCTCATACCTATTGTAATTTCACAGTGCCCTATTTTTCATCACTGCTGCATTCCTGTTACCTTTAGTCGTTACATATATTTCGTGTTCCCTTAGGTACTTGGTCCCATTCCTTGTCCATACGCACAGATATTTGTATTTATCTGTTATCTCTAGCGTGACCTCCTGTATCCTAAACTCACTCCCTTCATTATCATTTCATTATCATTAGCATGACTGCTGATTTTTCCTTACTGAGTCTGAAATCTAACCTATCTCCCTCAATTCTGCAGATGTCCATCAATCTTTGCAAATCTTCCTTGTTGTCGGCCATTAGCACTATATCATCTGAGTATACGAAAGCTGGTAGTGCCTCTTCAATGAGTTTTCCTTGTTTGACGAAAGATAGGTTGAAGCCAAGTCCACTTCCCTCTTATTTGGCCTCTAATCTTTGTAGGTACATCATGAAAAACAAGCGTGACAGAGGGCACCCCTGCCTAAGCCCCCGTTTTACCTCTGTGGGCTTGGATACCTTTTTTTCACTTTATAACTACCTTGTTACTTTTATTGATATCCTTTAAAATATTAGTGACTCTATCTTCCACACCTATGATATCCAGTATTTCCCACAAGTCCTCTTGAACCACGAAAACGTACGCTCCCTTGATATCCAAAAATGCTCGCCACAGGGGCCTGTGTTCTTTTTCTGCTATTTCGATGCACTGCGTCAGTGAGCACAGATTGTCTTCCAACGTCCTTTGTTTCCGAAACCGATTCTGCAGTTTCCCCAGCACCCCCTTATCCTCTATCCATACCTGTAGTACTTTCTTTATAATCTGCATCGCCACCCAGTAGACCACTGATGCCACTGTTATAGGACGGTAGTTGTTTATGTTAGTTTTGTCCCCCTTTCCTTTATAGATCATGCTCATCCTGCTAAGTTTCCATCCATCGGGGACTTCACCATCAATATATATATACATATGTACAACGCCCCCCAGGGACCAGCCAACGGGTTCCGAAACCACACCGAAACCCCTATACCACATCATCCCCCTCTTGAAATAAAGAGCATTCGGGGTGGTACCACTTAACATGATACAAAACTAACATAAATGAAAATGCACAGCATGCACACTAAAACAAGAAGCAAAGCACACTAACAATTGTACATGTAACACGGAACATATTGTAACGCAGTGGACGTAGCACAACGAATTTTGAGGAATTAAAAAGGTACAGCATGCAGACCAACAATACAACAGCAAGGCACATTGCGAAATCACCACCACATCATCCCCTCCCCCGAGAAAGGATGTCTGCATAGTCATTGTCATGTTTGAGTCCACGGCGTCGACGCCTGTAGTGGCGCCATTTCCACGACAGGCACTGTCGCCGCCCACAGCAGTCCGGTGCTACGTAGGAATCGGCCCACGTGCTGTCCTCCCAGCGTACTTCTGGCACAGTAAGGGCCGGAAGAAGCAGGAAGGCATGCTCTGGTGGAACGCAGCTTGGCGCCACCGATGCAGGCACCGTGCACAGAATAGGAACTGGCACGGCCGGTGCAGACGCGACTGGTGGTAGCACCTCCGCAGCACACAAAACAGGCACCGCTTCCTGAATCTCGGCCGGCACGCTTGACAGATGCACCTCCGGCAAATCAAGAACAGACACAGCAGCCCGGAGGCTACCACAAGCCGAAAGACGCACAGCCAGGGCGGAATCAGCAGCAGGCAAGATGGGAGAAGCAGGAACAACCGACGTATGGTGAGCTGGGATGCAAGCAGGTAGAGTCCGGGTATGCTCAACCGCGGGAAACACGACAGGAGCAGGCACATCAGGAGCATGGCCAGCTGAGACGTCGATAGCTGCAGTACAAGTGAACACGTTCTCAGTCTGGGCCGGAATCGTCGTAGTTGGTGAAGTCGAAGGATGGCCTGTTAAAATGTGCAAGATTTCAACATAACTCGGAGGGGCCGGTGGCACATCAGGCTTGGAAGCATAACGTAGTAGCCGTACGGGTCGAGGAGAACGCCACGACGTTGATGCTTGCATCGCGTAATCCATTCAGCCTGCACAGTAGTCAGTTGCTGCAACGTGCGGTCAACGCGCTCCTCTTCCCTGGCATGTCCCAATGCTGCCTGGACTGTCAAAGCGTCCCCTATCTGAACGAATGACCTAAGCACATCGGGGTCACGCAGGCCGTGCAAAATCTGGAAAGAGAGAAAAATTTTATTATATAGTATTCATATACATGAAGTAGGAGGAAGATGGGCCGGTGTGGGCTACCCCTCACATACACTGGGTGGACTCCTCGTTACAGAAGTCTATTGGCAGCCAACGCAACTCGAGCTCGGTTGTCCAAGGCCTTCTGGCTCGTCAGGTCGAAACAGCAGAGCATGGCTGCCTCCCAGTCCTCCCGGATGGGGCTTGGTTTGGGCTTAGAGTTTCCTACACTCTAAAAAAATATCGAGTAAAAAGGGTGTCTTTTTGTCCCACAACAATAATCGTTATCAGGCTTACGTGCGCTTCTTTTCTTGAAAACTCGGCGCTGGCCACTTTTCTATCGAAAATGCAATGTAACGTGGATAATAGGCATGTTGATCGTGACCGGAATGCACCGGGCGCGGGGCGATAGCGCAAGGATGGAACGCAATATAAATGACGATTACTGTTGTGGGACAAAAATACACCCTTTTTACTCGCTCTTTTTTAGAGTGTAAAATTAACTAGAAGGGACTTTCTCGCTGCGATCGTTCAGCGTGCATAGGAATGATGGGTAGTGCACACATTTGCCTAGTCTTCGTACTTGCTGCGGATGGCGAATCATACTTGCGGCTTCGTTTATTGCTGTGTTTCGGTTTTGTTTTCAAAAAAAGATTCAACCCTTTTGAACTTCGTGACCCGATTTGAAAAGGTAAGTCTAAAAGAATAAGGTGGTGAAGCACAACCGCTGAAATTTGCTGATTTTCGTTTCGTGAGAAAACAGCTCCAAGCCCCACGAACACACACGTAGCCAAAAGCAGGCCAGAAGTACAAAGATTAGACAGACGTGCGTGCTACTCATCATTACCGTGCCCGCTGAAGCGCCGTGCATTGCAACTCCCATAAACAATAGCACCAGAGTTCCCTCTAGTGTATATTAGGAAACTCTATGAGTTTTGGGGTGAGGTTCGGAGTTGACTGGCATGCCCACACCATATGGAAGATGTCAGAGGACTACTCCGCACAGTGCGGACAATTTTCTGTACACGCAGGAACAAGATATTTGAAAACTGCCGGGAACAGCAGTGTATTGGTGTAAATGTGGAGGAGTAAGCGTGTTTATGTTTATAAGAAGGAAAAGAAGAGAAAAGTGAGCCCCGTAACTGCCTGCTTCACGGTGCGACACCTAAACAGTAGCTCACAAGGAATGGGGATGAGGAGGAATCAAAAGGATAGGAATAAATGTGTCGAGAGAGAGAGATGCGCTAAGCCAGCGAACGAGGACATATCGCAGGGATAGGAGAAATAGGAAAGATGGAAACACGGTCACAGAGGTCCGAGGACAAGGCACCACTTGCGAGAGCTCTTGTCGGCGTCAGGAGATGGCGTAGGGCAAGTCCAGTAGGTCAGAGCTACCTGTCGTCGGAGATCAGCGTCAGGAGATGACGTAGGGCGAGCCCAGTCGGCCAGAGCTACGCTGACGTCGAAGATCACGAGAGCACAACCGGTCGGCACGGAATCCAGCGAGCGAGTCCGGAGTAAGCGTCCCTCTGCCTTTGTAAAGCCCTTACAAGGTTTATTATAAATCGCGTGGCCGAATCGATAGAATTCAGTAATTTCTCGGAATGTTAATCTGCTTTTGTATCATTTTCTCTGCTGCGGTGCCGAAATTGTAGTTGTTGGTCAACCGCCGAAGCGCTAGAATGAATTGGACGGGAGTCTTGTCCGGTTCTTGAACTCTCCGCCGGAATAGGGCCCGTACACAGAAAGCGTCTTCAGGCGGCGCGAAGTATGCGTCCATAACAGCTAAGGCCTGCTGGTACGCGTCGCATGTTGCGCCAACTACTGAAGCCTGGAGGCCGTCAAGCAGCGTCTGCCCTTCAGCAGCTTTGTAATAAGCCTGTAAACTCTCCACTCCAAGCGCGTTGAGCATCAACGCCTTCTTTATGTCTGGCGTAGCGTCCAGGACCACCGCGTCGACGTACACTTGCACGACGCGACGCCAAGTCGTCTACAGAATCGGAGGCACGCCAGGGCATTGCAGGAACGGAGGTGGTGGAATTGCGGGGAACATGCTGCTGCCGAGACAGACCAGATGCGCAAATATATGTAAAGCCACTGCATGTGTCAAAGTCCGTAGTCCCGTCAATCCGCCAAAATATCCTTAGGTACCTTCATGAATGTGAGCTACACAGTAGAAGAAAATAGAACGAAGAATGGCTCACATTTAGCAGAGTAGACGCAGAGCAATGCAGGTATGGTCTCGGTGTCTCAAGCAGGTAATCTTCAGGAAATACCGCATTGGTGAGGTAGCTTGCACTGGTGCTGAGTCGACAGCACGAGAAAGAAGACTCGATGCCCTCCTTATCACATGATGCTCGTGGATTGCAGAACCTCGTCGCCAAAATGTAGTATCGCGCGGCGGACGCGCCGCACGGAGAACACAGGGCACGGCGCTGAAGCACCGGCCGACAAAAAGTTCGCAGCAGCCGGTAGCCAAGCAGGAACTTTCTTTTTTTTATACACAAGCACCACTAAATATATACATATGTACAATGCCCCCCCCCCGGGGCCAGCCAACCGGTTCCAAAACCGAACCCAAACCCCAATACCACACGAATGTAAGGATATATCGATTGATTCTGAATGTGCCGCTATGCGCTTTGATTCAGTATTCCAAAGCGCAGTGGTAGAACAAATGGTAGAACAAGTGGTAGAACCCGGCAGAACAAGTTTTTAGTTTAATTTAGTGCAACACTATGAAAATAATTTGGCGTTTTGGAAGATCAGGTTATTGTTGTTCTTGTTACCGGTTCAGAAGTTTCCTAGCACCTATTTAATTCCGTTTTAGTGGGGCGTTGTTCGGGTTACCGGGCCATGACCCGAAGTTCAAAAATTATAATAAAGGTAATTGGAACTTGACTGTTATTTTTCGGTTTCAGTAATCATTACATGGGCGCATACACGTTAATGGCCACTTGAAAAAAGCTAACAAGTCTACACCTGTGATATTTACATAAATGCTTTGAATTCTGCGAAGTGTGGTTTTTTTGTTTTGTATATGCACCTGTAATTTTTTTCTTTGCACACTGTAAAAGCAATCATGCACAACACGACACAATATGCGCAGTTGGGCTCAACTCCATGTCAGGACATGGCCATATTTGCCATCAGCCCTCCTTCTAGAAGTTTGAATTAAGCGTCGAGAGCGAAGCATAGGCCTGATGACTCTCTAGATGAGATGCTGATGTACGTGTCACCGGCAACCTTTTTGACGTATTATGATAAAGTTCCAAGACCCAGCCAAACTGTAGGATGTTGGTGCTGCTTTCAAGACGTTCCGTCATAAAACAACACAAAAAGTCTGCTTGATTTGTAAATATAAACATAATTATTTTTCTTGAGGAGAGCCATAATTTCTTGGCGGAGGCAGTGCATCTTCAATTTTGTTTTTTTGTTTTTTGCTGCCATTGCATAACAACTAGATTTGACATTGCCCTTTGCCAAGCATAAAACTAGGCACAGTCATTAAAGTCATATGTATTGTTTTTTTTTTCAGCCATTGTCATCTCCATGATTCACTCCGGCTGTAGAACCTCTCTGGATAATGTGCCATTTCGAGTTGTGAAGGAGGCTGTCAAAGTCTGCCTATTTGGAACGGATACTCCAGGAAAACTCCAGAGAAAAAAATTTGGCAGATCCCACATACCTGGCAATCGACGTTATGCGAAGCATGCGAAGGGAAGGTGACCGTGTTGTATTTTTTGTATTGAGAGACACGGCATGAAATGACGCGAACTATATGTACAAATGTAGCACTCACAGACATATTTGGAGGAGTTGCAGATGTTTATATAACCGATTGTTTGCACTTCCGCAGTGATGCCAACTAAAACAAGAGTATTAGCAACACCAGAAGCTGATATAAAGCGCTGATGCTCACGAGGATGCTGGCCCTGAGCACTTCTACATAAATCAACTTTAGCGCATGTCAGCTAACTACAATCCACGTTAACCTGACGTGACGGCTGTATCAAAGAAGAACATACGTAGTGTTTATAAAATTATGTAGATAGCACTGCAACCACTACTGACGTTACACGAAGATTAGGGTCTATTTGAAAAGTAGTCTGGCTAGCTGGCGTATCTCTGTGGTAAAATGCTAAATTGCCATGAAGAATGCTTTGGTTCGATGCCAGCTGGTTCAGACTCATTTATCGACGCTACTGATGTCCGGTATTTCTTAATTCTCGCGCGTTAAAATTACCCATGTGTGTTCTCATCGTTCCAGAAGGTATAATAAGTGTCAATACCCTGTGGCACAAACCCGTATACCAGTGGCACATATCCGCCCATGGGTATGTGGCACTGTCTGGCTGGAAGTGTTTGACGACGTACGCGACGAGATTGTGACATTATCCATGTCTTGACCAGCGCGTCATATTCATGTCAACCCATCTTACCCTCCCATGCTGATTCTGGTTCATCCCAAGTCTAGGGGGTGACCACAAGAGCACCCAAACGTAAGCGGGTAATAGATAGATAGATGATAGATAGATAGATAGATAGATAGATAGATAGATAGATAGATAGATAGATAGATAGATAGATAGATAGATAGATAGATAGATAGATAGATAGATAGATAGATAGATAGATAGATAGATAGATAGATAGATAGATAGATAGATAGATAGATAGATAGATAGATAGATAGATAGATAGATAGATAGATAGATAGATAGATAGAAAGATAGATAGGATAGATAGATAGATAGATAGATAGATAGATAGATAGATAGATAGATAGATAGATAGATAGATAGATAGATAGTAGATAGATAGATAGATAGATAGATAGATAGATAGATAGATAGATAGATAGATAGATAGATAGATAGATAGATAGATAGATAGATAGATAGATAGATAGATAGATAGATAGATAGATAGATAGATAGATAGATAGATAGATAGATAGATAGATAGATAGATAGATAGATAGATAGATAGATAGATAGATAGATAGATATGCTCAAAGTCACCAAAGTTCGCTAAGAAATGCTTCGCATTTAAGAAAGGATCCGGCATGTCTTATGGTTACGCGCTCGCAAACGTTGCAGTCTCGTGCAGATATCCACCCTTACAATTCAAAGATTGTGTATGGAAGTATGAGACTTCTTTTTGTACTTGCCAAAGCCGCATTGTGTTGCAGATGACCTATGTGTGTTTATGGAATGTATATAAAAAGAGCAGTACTAAATGTTTTTTGTATGAAAAAAGAGCAGTACTAAATGTTTTTTTATTTAGTTTACAGGACTCAAGCACCGCAGACTGGCCGAAGGAGGCATACGAGATTTCAAGATATAAGTGCACTGACTTGCCGAGGGATGACCACAAGAAAAAAAAAGTGAAGGAACCTACAAGGCACAAAGAAGAGAGTTCACAACACTTTCGTTTTCACTATGAAACAGCTATGTAGTGTGCAGCATACTCACGAATGATACCACCATACATTGGATATTTTGATAACACAACGAGCAAAAACTAAGCAGCTCAGCATTGCTGTTTTACGATACTGAAAGGACATGTTGGAGACCTTACTTGGAAAATATTAGCTAATGAATATGTTGAGACAATTGCCCTTTTACTTGTACATGCCTGTTCTTTATGCAATCTCGTTTTATATCCCAATACCCATAGGGTGCCATCGAAATAGAAAAGGCTTTATTTATTATTTTTATACATACTGCTGTCTCGATTTCGAGACATAGCAAGAGAGGAATAATTAAACAGTCCCCCAAAGTTGGTAGTATCTGTATGTATACCTAAAGCAATTCGTTAAATAGGGTAGTTCTGATAACTGTTTTCAAAAATGGCCTGTTTGCTCAGCCTATAATACCCGTCACAGCTGTTGAAGTAGTCTTGACAAAATTGTTCTACTGTGTAGGTAACCATACTTGACATTGTCAAAATAAACTCTTAGTGCACACTACACATTCTCTCAAATGTGATTTATTTATAGTCAATGCATATTACAAGCACACTACTAAATACAGCTTGGGGGTAACCACCAGACCAAAATGTAACAGCATCTTTTCAAAGGCTGCTTGCTCTATTCAAATGCTAAAAACATAGTACAAAAGCAAGCACTTCCATAAAAGTACTGAAAGGATCGAACTTTCCATAGAGTTTTATATGCATACCCTGAAAACTGAACCCTTTAAACTTCTTTTTATACAATATATGAATTGAAAATGCAACCAACACGATACATTAAGGTAGTATCTCTACACACACATGATCATAATGCATGACCATAATGACGACTAGTATAAAAGTGACATTGATTTCGGAGCAGAAAAGTGGTGTTTTTGGACAGAGTAGCAAAACATTCCGAACTTCTTGAAATTAAAGCATCATTTAAACACTTACACATATTATTATCTATTAATAAACATATTGTATATGCAACAACTACTTCAAATTACGAGAGAAATAATTAAACAGATGAATGGCAATTCCGCAAAAATATGAGCAACATATATTCAAAATACCCTAACTTATGACAGTCTTGGTATAAAAGCAATTATACTGAGTAAATTACAAAAGTATTTACAGTACTATGTAACTATTGGAAAAGCAGCAGTTTATAATTGGCACATATTCAATATGTTTTCATATTTGGTCAAAACAGCCAACACTGAGAATTTCCACTAAAATCAGCTAAATGAGCTATAAACTTCAAATTCCGCTTTTTGTGGCGTGAATAAGGTCAAAGCTGATAAGCGCCAAATGTAATCAGTCGGACATCAATGTCGTCACAGCAGTAAATATTATGATATCGAAATAATCTCACACATATTCCATCAAAATAGGTTGTCAAGTACATGTATGCCGCTATATCACATATATAAACAAGACCAGTACTATATATAGAATCGTCACTATGGTAGAATACTGCTCATATACAGGCCACATACTAGACAATAGTGTCGAGAGTATCGATATGACAACGCGACATTGGGCTGGGCCGGCGACTGACTTCCCCGTCATGTTTATGGATACCATATATATTGACGCAAGGCAAACGCAGTATTCAAACTACGCTCGCTAGTTCGTGCGCCCCCCAAGAGATCAGCGGCTTGATGATCAAATAAGAAAAGGCCGTGACGGCACGCGCCTCCTCAGCACAGGATTTCGATGAAAAAGAAGTGGTGCACCGCTCGAGAGTTTCTCGGAGATTGATCCCTTTTTTCTTTTTTTTTTTTTGCTGATCGCTTGTTAGAGACGCCGCTACATTTTTCTTTACTTTTCGGGCATAAGTTCGCCCCAATAAACAGTTATTCGTACACCATTTGGATTGTACGTAACAATATATACACCTGTAACCCCTTTGTGGCGCCGTCTGTTAGTGTGTTAGGGTAAGTGACGCCACCTAGGATCAATATAACAAAATACAACAACACTTCATCTTCCTTTCCAACATCTACAAATTCAGTTTTTTGGGTGGGACCACACGCCTTCCGGACCTGGTAACCTGGTGGGGTATACTTTCAGGGTCTGCACCGGTACTCGTATCGTGCTGCCGGCCATGTGATGGTTCCTCCTGGTCGAATCTTTGCTCCTGGTTTGGGCCCGGGCTTGGAAGAGAGACCGGGGTTGACACACTGAGATCTGGGGAATAGTGCTCTAGATGCCGTCGGTTTCGTTGTATAACTCCGCTGGGAGTTTCCACGGTGTAGGATCGTGGACGCTGGCCTCGGCTAAGAACTTGGGCCCGGCACTCTACATCAGTTACCCACACTTCGTCTCTTGAGGAGAGGTCCCAGAGCTCTCTCGCCCCTTGCTGATGATTAAAGCCCCGAGTGTGCCTTTTCTTAGCCGCGGCGTCCTTTTGGAAGACGACGTCTGGTCGTAGTAGGTCTGGTGACAGCTTGGCTGGGTTCCTGGGAATGTGTGTCCGTAACTGTCGCCCCATGAGAAGTTGGGACGGGCTGTACCCTGTGACCCCTGGCGTGTCACGATACGTCAGCAGTGCCAGGAACCGGTCGTTGCTCTTGCGGAAAAGATCCTTCACAGTCTTAACAGCCCTTTCGGCTGCACTATTTGATTGAGGATAACCAGGAGTGCTAGTGATGTGTCTAAACCCATAGCTCTGGGCAAAACTTGAGAACTCGTGTGACGAGAACTGGGGGCCATTATCACTTCGAAGCACTTCCGGTATGCCGAATCGAGCCATGACACCCTTGATAGCCGATATCACCACTTGGCTGGAAGTGTTGCGTAGCGTGATAACCTCTGGATAGCGTGAATAGTAGTCCACGAGCAGCCGAAAATTTTGTCCCTCCAAGTGGAACAAATCTGCCCCCGCTTGTTGCCATGGGTACTCCATTGAAGGTGTTGGCAGGAGAGGCTCGGCACGCTAGACTCTGGTAGTTGCACAACGTTCACATGATTCCACCATAGATACAATATGTTGGCCTATATGAGTCCACCAAACAGCATCACGCGCACGGGCCTTGCATCGGTTTACACCCTGATGACCCTAGTTAAGTGAATCCAAGACGTCCCTCTGCAGAGCCTCCAGAATCATCAGATGCCCTTCTTCAAGTAGCAGTCCATCGCACACAGCCAGCTTCCCTTGGTGCTTCCAATACTTCGAGAGGTTTGATGGCACTTTGGTTTTTCGATGCCAACTCCGCCTGCAGTACCCCACGAGGGTAACACACTCGCCATCCATCATCTGGTGCTGACGAACCGCTTTAAGGCTAACTGGTGCGCCTTCCGCGATATTGCCGACGACCTCACTCACGTACAACTCCACTTGGTTTTCTTCTGCTGGAGACGCTGATGTGACGGGGGCTCTTTAAAAGGTATCAGCCATTGCCAGCAGCTTCCCTGAAACGTACAATACTATGTACTGGTACCTCATGAGTTTCAGTCGAATCCTTTGGATCCTTGATGGTAAAGCATCGACATCCATGGAACCAAGCAAGGACGTTAGCGGTAAGTGATCGGTTTTGATGGTAAAGTGTAGGCACCGGACATACTCGTCAAACCGCTTGACAGCTCATGCAACTGCCAAGCCCTCCTTTTCCGTTTGGCTGTACCTTTGCTCTGTTGGTGTGGGGGAGCGCGACGCGTAGGCTACGACTCTGTGCTCTCCACTCAGTTGGTCTTGTAGCAAAACAGCACCTAAGCCAAACTAACTGGAATCAGCGGATACGATGGTCGGGTACAGTGGGTGGTAGTTAGCCATGCAGATATTGGACGACATCATGTCTTTCAAGTTTTGGAAGGCGACCTGCTGGGCCAGTCCCCACGCCCAGTCACTTCTTTTGTTTAGCAGTCCTTGAATGGGTGCCGTCACCTCTGACAGATGGGGTAAGAACCGTCCCACGTGGTTTACCATGCCCAATAGTCTGCGGACGCCACCGACGTCGACAGAAGGTTTCATGCTCTTGAAAGCGGCAAGCTTGTCTGGGTCCGGCGAAATACCGCTGCTGCAGATAGCTACGCCGAGGAACTTGACACTTGTGACGCCGAATTGACACTTCGACTTGTTCAGTGTCAGCCCAGCGTTTCTCAGTCGAGCCAGCACTGATTGGAGCCGGCTGTCATGTTCTGCACGGTCACGGCCAAAAACCAAAACGTCGTCAATCATGTTTACGACACCGTCTTGACCCTCGATAATGTAACTCATTTGGCGCTGAAAGTATTAGGGGGCGGACGTTATCCCGAATGGCAGTCAACGGTAGCAATAACGTCCGATTGGCGTTATAAATGTTGTTAATTCTTCAAATTCTTCTGCCAGTTTTACTTGATGAAAACTGGATGTAGTGTCAAGCTTCGAGAACACCTGAGCATTACCCAGTACTCCGAAAACTTGGTCTACGGTGGGCAAGATTTGGCGCTCACGCAACACTACCTGTTTCAACTTGGTGAAGTCGACGCAGATGCGGTATGAACCGGATGCCTTTGGTACGACGACTATACCGGCGCACCACGGTGTAGGCTTTGTCACGCGTCTGATCACGCCCTCCGCTTCAAGTCTGTCCAGCTCCACCTTCACGACACCATGTAAAGGGATGGGCACACGCCTTGGGACCGGCAGCGAATAGGGGACAGCATCTGGTTTTAGGCGTATAGTGTACGCTTCTAGCAGCTCGCCCAAGCCACAGAACAGCTCATCTGATGCCACCTGGTTGCCTTGCGTCTAGACCACCAGGTCCACGAACTTGACCACACCCAGCTCTTGGATAGCAGGAAACCCAGAAGTGGCATGGCCTATGACAGAAGTAAGTAAAGTCGTTGCGTTGCGGACTTGTTCTTCCATTGCAGAGTGGCGGTAAACGTTCCCAGCACGTCCAGCCGTTGTCCTGTCGGTCCTGAAAGCTCCCCTTCCGGCGGCTTGAGATATCATGGAATACCAGAAAAAGTACTGGGGACGACTGTGACCTCGGCGCCGCTGTCTACTTTGAAGCGTAGAGGCATTCCGTCCACTTTTACATCCACGAACTTTGCCCGCTTTTCTCTGTTCGAACCGACAGCACCCAATTCCACGACGGGAAGTTGCTAGCTAGTCCGGCAAACCGCTGCGAAATGGCCCTTCCTTCCGCATTTGTTGCAGGTTGCTCGGCGTGCGGGACATTCTGACCGCAAATGTAAGGACCAGCCACAAAATCCACAAAGCAAAGAAACATGCATCCATGGGGCAGCTGCGTTGCGCGTCTCTTGCTGCTGTGGGCGGTTCTGCATGACTTTCGCCGCCGCGTCCATGTTTATCGGCTCATGATGCGTTATCACTGCTGGCGAACATGCTGCTGAAAAATTTGCCCTTTTCCTCTCTGCGTCTTCTGCTTAACGGACACAAATGCGCGCCTCTTCTAACGTAAAACTAGGATTGCGGCACAGCTTGTCGGATAGCTTCGTGTCACGAAGGCCAACGATAAAATGGTCGCGGACCAGTCACTTCTCGATGTCCCGTGAAGAGTAATTGCATCGTTTCACCATTTTTCCCAGTGCCGTGAAGAATGTGTCAGCTGTCTCGCCTGCCTGTTGAACACGTCGGTGGAACCGTGCGCTCTCGTACAGCTCGTTGACGGGGTGTAAGAAGTAACCGTTCAGCTTGCCAACAATGACGCTGTACTTTGAATAGTCTTCGTCCTGTACTTGCAATGAACACAAGATGTCCCGTGACATGGTGCCCATGCAGTATAGCAGCGTTCTGACGCGAACTTCATCGTCCGCCACATGAAGACCCGTTGCAACACTGTAGTCGTCGAACCGCTGACGCCACCTTTGCCAAGCCGCTGGGTTCTCGAAGTCCAAGTGGGGTCTGTGATGTGTGGTGCGCGTTCAAAGTGCGCGCCTTCGAAAAGTGCGCGTCACGGAAAAAAAAAAAAAAACAAAAGGAGAAATACCAGAGTGCACGTGCGGGGCTGCTTAAACAAGAATGACGACGTTAAAGAGCGTCGAGCACGAGGATGCGTGGCAGGACGTGAAGTAAACAAAAGGTAAAACATCCAATGGGCAGCGAACACGGAGATTTCAAGGCCCAATGGCTTGACACCACGAGACAGCAGTATCTCCAATGAGAACGAGACAAGTGGGCCAGAGCTGAAGCAGGAGCCTGAGCAGACCAGAGCAAGGGGAGTTCGAAGAAGACGGGGCAAGCGGAAGGTCGTCACCGGACCGGGCGCTGAAGATGGGCCGTCGGGCGTAGGACCCGAGCCTGCAGGTCTTCAACCGGCCGGGGCCTCCTGCCGTCGTGTTCCCGCTCCAAAGGACCGTGGCCATCCGGTCCTGAACTCCTTTCCAGGGCCTGCGGACTTTGGTTCCGGCAGGCGAGCTACAGCCGTCGGGCTCCGGGCCCGAGCTGTGCGCCCAGCTGCTTGACTAGGTCGACCCTGGTTCTCTGACGCGTCACCACCAGCCTGCGTTCTCTCGTCACAGACGGGTCCACACTCCTAAAGCCAGAGCCACCACGTTCCGGCCTGGTTTCTCGACGTGTCGTCAGCAGCCAGCGTTCCTTCATCCCCGTCCTGCCCGCGTCCTGAAGCCGGAATCACCGCGTTCCGGTTTGCTCATCGTCGGCGGAATTCAGCGTGTGGGTGAGACCGAACAGATATCTTGCGCTACTCCCATCACTCAGCCCCTTTCGAACGTTAGGTTTAGTTACTGACTTTGAACGTTTTTGTTGGGTGTTTACAGATGTGTTTCGTCATGTCCAGTCAACTGTTTATTAAGTGTTTTGTTTTGAGAGGAATCTTTGCCTTTTTTTCTTTTCAATTAAACTTTTTGTGTGTTTCTTGGAAACCGAACGGCTTTGTCCTTATTAGAAAAACTCTCTGAGGCTCAGCCCGGGAGAAACAAATCAGCAACAAGAACCATGCATCACAAATTGGCGTCCGCGACAGGACAAAGTCGTTTGTTTTTCCAGTAGATTTTTTTGACGCGGTTAACACGATGACGAACACGTGGGAGTTAATTGAGTTGGCGGATAAAATGGGACTGACGGGAGCGGAGTTTAGAGTATGGTACGCGGAGCGGATGGAGAGGGAGCGTGAGGAACGGGCTGCGATATGTGACGCTAAAAAGCAGCAGATTGCATTGCAAACACACGCTAAGAGAGAGGAGTTCGAGCGAGAAACACGGGCTAGGAGAGAGAAGCTCGAGCGAGAGACACGCGCTAAGAAGGAGCAGCTTGAGCTAGAAATGCGTGAAAAGAAAAGGCTGCTCGAGATAGAGATGCGCGAAAAGAAGAGACTGTTGGAACTAGAATATGAGGATTTGCAGCAGTGGCTTGAGAGGGAAAACGCTGAATATACGTGGTCTGAGAGCCAGAGTAGTCAACCAGTGGATGAGGTGTGCTCTGAAAGCAGTTACATCGGGAGCGATTTGAATTTACGTGAGACTGACCCTGTACCTCGTCATGACCTTTCGCTAGAGAAAGAAACTCTGAAAGAGTATGACAGGGAGGTAAACAGTCAAAAGACTAGGAGACTCGATAAGCTTATTGAAGCGCAGGAATGCTTCGTGAGCATGGAACAAGAACGTTCCATTCAGAGTAAAGGGTATTTTGAAACCTGTGAGAGGTCAAGCGCACTTTATTCAGAGGTAGGATTGCCTCTGAATAGCTCCGCTGAAGGAGCAATAAAAGGTCTCCTAGGTAATGCCGGCGAATGCCATATTGAAAGCTCTGATGTAGCAGCTACCTATTGTTTTGGGCCACTGGAGATAGCAACAGACGCTACGGACATGGTTTTTCACCATGATTATAACTTGCCCATACAGAGAGATGGCTTGTGTTCTCGGGAAATTGTAGATGATGCTTTTAGAAGAATATTGGAGCAAAATGCAAAAGCACTTGTTGAAGAACAGAGAGTAGAG